AAATAGCTGGTGAGCAACAAAAGTATATTTGTAACTGAATATAATGATAAAACCAACCAAAAGGCTGACTCAGAAGTTCAGTGAAGGCAGAATGTAGGTGTGTGAACTAAAGCAATGAAATAGGGATGAAGGAGAGGCCATGAAAGTAAGATATTTTTGAAAGCTAGGATCAACAACTTGGTTAGCAATTTGAGGTTTATGGTAAAGAACCGAGTTCTCTGAGGATAAATATCAGGATTTCAGTTTGGATGGTGATGCCACTAACTTAGAAAGGCAACAGAAGTAACAGAGCAACGTTGGTCAGGAAAAATTGTGACTTCACTGTTGGACTTGCCGAGTGTAAACTGTCTGTGGAGCATTGCGTTAAAGATTGGAGTTGGTGTGTAAATGGTGTTTTGTGCAATGCACAGCCGAGGGCTGAGGGAGTGAGTCCAGAGGTGTTGCCTTTTTCTCATCTGCACAGGGACACTAGCGGGGGACCAGGTGAGGATGTCCAATAGACAGCTTCAGAGGGAAGAGCCAGGCTGGAGACAACAATGTGGAAGACATTGTTGTTCAAAGCTGTGCAGCCCAATATAGTAGCCAGTAGCCAGACATGTCTAAATTTAAAATAATCAAAATTAAATAAAGTTAAAAATTCATTTCCTCAGTCCCACTAACCACATTTTGTGTGCTCAACGGCCAATGTGGTTAGTGGACACTGTATCAGGTGGCACAGGTGTAGTCATGTCCATCACAGAAAGTTCTATGGGACAGTGATGGCATGGTGCATGTAAAATAAGAGGAAAGGGGCTCACGCCTGAGATACCAAAACTTTGGGAGGCCAAGGCAGGTGGATCACGAGGTCAGGAGATTCAGACCATCCTGGCCAACACGGTGAAAGCCCGTCTCTACTAAAAATACAAAAAATTAGCTGGGCGTGGTGGTGGGTACCTGTAGTCCCAGCTACTCCGGAGACTGAGGCAGGAGAATGGCGTGAACCTGGGAGGTGGAGCTTGCAGCGAGCCGAGATCGCACCACTGCAC